CAGTCCCCGGGTTTCCGTCAACCTTATGTTCTACTTGAAATCAAATTGCACGAAACTAGCGAATATACACTTAGCTGCAAACTAATTTGGTTCTTTCGAGAGACTCACCTGGAACCCAGCTGAATCTCTCGTTTATGATGTTCTCAGGCAACTGAGAACCAAATTAGTTTGCAGATGAGTGTATATTCACGTCAGGTCATTTTGAAAACGCGCTGGCATCTACTAGGTAACACTGCTCACTGCCCATGGGCCTGTTGGCTCTGATCCAGGGCAGGGCTCAACATGAGGGGAAGCTCTGGAAGCTAGAGCAAAATGACGGAACAAAGTTTCGACAGACATGGTTTCGTGCTATCGTCTTTATCCGTGTCATCTCTGGAGGTCAGATATGTAACTACGACAGTAGACTGGACCACAGCAGTTTGGGGATGATCAACCAAATAGGGTGCAGCCATCTGCAATAGCACCTCTACGGAGACAAAACGGTTTGTTTTCACTACCAACTGTGGCCATCCCAGACGTATGCAACCCACGACGTAGTACGAACTGTGATCGGATTTTGTAGCACCGTGCATTATCCTACATTTAACTGACACTAACGGCCCGAATCTGAGAAAACGTGATGCACATCGGAGTCCAAGGTTTATGATACAAGTACGAAAACGTGATGCACATCGGAGTCCAAGGTTCATGATACAACGTGACCAACTAATTGATTTTCTGTTCTACTGGTGTCCGGAGACAAGCCGTCCCTAATAACCCAACATCACTTCATTTGGACGGATGTGTCACGTGCAGGACACGGACCAAACGAAGGCGTACTCTGATTGGCCAGAATGCCAGTCAATCCGGATTGAGCACACTTGGCATACTTGACTCGACGCTTCTCGCCCCCTCACGGAGATTCCAGCACGACCTTGTGGGACACCCTGTGATTCCCCTATAAAAACAGTTGTAGTAATTTCCATTTGTCTCCATAAGGGGCTGTGTAGAGCGACATTGCCTTTTGATATACCAGAGTGGGCGGAGCAGGAAGCCAAGTGACCGATACAGAGTTGCACTACCGTTTAGCAAGACACAACAACTGGTTACAAGGCGGGATCGAGCATCCACACGTCCACAGCATGTTGTGCGCAAACTTCTAGGGCCCAGCTGTTGACCATGTGACTAGCCCCGAAGGTCGAGACAAGCGTCTCATGGTCCGTACACAATGTGAAGTTCCTTCCAAGTAACATCTCATGAAAGTGGGACATAATTCCTTTCGCGATTTAGCAGTAGTTCCACTCTGCCTGAAGCATGGCCTATAACCTTACAGTAACTGTTAGTAGATACAAGTGGAAGGAACGCACCAAAACCATAGACCGAAATACCGGCAGCAACCGCAGTGAGTAGTTTCGGGTTACAATGTGTCAGTAGTAGATCAGAGCTCGAAATTATTTTATTGTGCTCAAACCAAGTGTGTCAATCCAGCAACCAGGACCATTTTGTAGTTTTTTATTCATAAAAGCTGAAGTAGTTGGCCAAATCCAGTTAGCGACTGAAGCAATCTCGAGCTGTTCGATTGCCGCCAATTTTGGGACGAGGGCGAGGTCCTGACGTATCAACTACAAGTTTGGCTTATTTTATGCGAGGAAGCAAGAGTTCACATTTATCGGTTCGAACTTTGAGTGCATAGTGCAGATTAGAATGTGCTTTTCACTTGAGCAGCTGACAACGATGACGGCGAATTTTCAGGCAGAAATTTGAATTTGATTATGTTGTCGGTGTGGACGATTGCACTGGGAACACCAAACATCATGACACCGTTCAAAAAGATAACTAGAGAATTTTACGCCGTGTGGTAACCTGGATTTTACGGATGAAAAATCAAACTGATCGTAAACAGAGCCTACTCGTACCTTCTCACAATCTGACCTCTCGGTCCAGTACACGGAGTGGGATGTAACAAACACCCAAAATCGAAAATAGCAGTGCAACTCACCCAAAAATAGAATCCGTTCACTCCGGGGATTGCGAGTGACACAGATCTTGTCAACAGACTCTTAAAGCTTGCGGCCATCAGCTTGACACGTTACTGCAGACTCAGTGATAATGATGGTACCGTAGTTCCGCAAGTGTGATGAATTATCTTCAGTTTGTTGTGATCACAGTTTTTGAATCACGGGAAATTAACCAGTACTTGTTGCGGCGTTGGAATTATGAACACCAGGCCAGTGAATTTCTCCATGTGCGTTATGGCCACAGATTTGCTATTGGTGAGAGTAGAGAGGCCAAAACGTACAAAGTACCGGACACTCCAGTTCCAGGAGGCTGTTGGTGGCTGTGACAGGCATCCCGTTACGCGGGTTAGATGGTGCGCCTCTGTTGTGATCCACTGAAACACAATCAAGCTGAAAAAAATCCGGAATCCTTGGTAGCATAGCTGACTACTGCGTGTGCTCCGCTGGCCTCAGCTTTTGCTATGACAGTCTCGGCTAGATGTCCATCAGTCAGAAAGTAATCTCGCAGTGCTTTCATGGCTGTCTGAGAACCAGCTCCTGTGGCACTGCCACACGCTACGGTTGAAAAGCGGCACGGGCTAGACCACCTGACGGGGCTGGCGCACGAAAGGAATGCTGCCTAGAGTGACGCAGACATGCTGAGCGGACCAGTGGAAACGGGGGCCAATGGGATGATTAGCCAATCACAGCACCAGGCAGTTATCGAACGGAGAGGGCACGCTAGCCTGTAGCGCAGCTCCAATTTGCTCAGTTGCATCCAATGGCTTTATCGACTCAAGATGTCAGTCATTTTGGGCTAGCACCCCATCAGAGTCAGTCATTTTCCTCATACTCCGTCGTTTCACCACTCAGTCTGTGGGACGTCCTGGAACAGCGTAGCTCTGTATTGGTTCAGTAGGCCTTGTAAACAGTCACTGCACCTGCTTGTTCTTCAGGGCAGGAAAGCTAACTTATTACGGATGAAAGTGAGGATACTTAGCCTTGTGTGACATGGTCAGGTTAATAATTGTATCAATCTGTATTACCCAACGTTTCAATCAACACCTCAAGTGTAGCTGTCCTGTGGTCGACAATCCCACACGACTCTCGTAGCACCGGCTTTTGTCTTTGCAGTGTGTGCTGATCTCTGCCAGAATGAGCCCCTTTCTGCTATTGTTTGTAAGCGCCCTTCAGAAGTTGACATGATTATCGAGTCAGCACGGAACTGACACACGGAACAGATGTACCCATAAATCAAATAACAGTCAGGTCTCGTCAATCCCTTCGAAATGCGTGGCCGCGCCGAATGTGAACTGTTGAGTGTTCAGCACAACGATGAGCTCCTCTAGATGACTCTGATCTCGTCAGCAAGTCAGACTATGCGGAGCGATCGCCGTTTTATTTCCAAAACTGTTCTGCTGCACTGAGTTCGAGGAACCTTTTGTGTTATGGTATTTGGACAGTTGTCTAGCAGGTTCGATTTGCTACGATTTGGTGCGTTCCCTTCTAACTACAGGCTTTACCAACAAATGAGGTTGGTTAATTGTTCTACCTTAGAATATCTTTTCTGCTTCTGAGTTCACCAGAATATTCCCCACATCAGATACTGTTTGCTCCATTCATGGGC